AAACTATTGTTGTTAAGTTTGCAGGGTATTTGAGCCCAATGTGATAGGGAGATTAAGCAGGATGGTTTCCTTTTTTTTAGATTGTGCTTTGTACATAAACCCTGCTTTAAAATAAGATTTACAGATTTGCATTCTCTCATTTATTTTTCAGTTTTTAACCTATATGCGCAAATTGTACGAGTTGCAAATTTATCCCACAATTTTAGATATTTGTTAATTTACCGTCCAATGCTACCTGGTTACCTGAAAGTTACGGTAATGAATACTTCTAAGCAGGGGTGGATTTGTGTTCTAGCCTTGGGTGTATTTGCACCCTAATGACTAAATACTCGCTTATTTAACGAGTAAGTAGTAGTCCCTTTGAGCCTATTTCCACTTAATAGCTCATTCCATTTGAATTTAGCCCATAATTTTATAACCAATAATTATATTTCTACTTTTAGGTAAAGCAATACTTGACATCTTCCGTCCTAAGAAAATTTTTCGGAATCCACCACTACTTCCAGGATATTTCCAATTTTTCCTATCAGTGTAGCAAAAACTAATGATGTTAAGTTTGAGGGGTATTAAAACTCAGTGTGGTAGAATCGGAGGGCAAAGGATAAATTTGCATATGCTTTATTTGGAGGATATATATGCAGAAAAACCTTTATTTTCTATTTTTATGAAGATTAATGTTATATTTCATCTCCTTAACGAAGAAATATAAAGTCCAAATAAAATTTCTTTGGACAACTATTGAGCAATAATTATGATGGTTGTAGCCTCTATTTATTGCATGTTAAACGAAATATTTTGAGAAAAAAACTGCAAATCTTATTACAAAAAGCTTTAAAATCCCTGAAAAAACACTCCAAAGCAGGATAAACAATAATCTAAACTCTTACTAATGAAACAGTCTCCCAATTCATTTTTAAAAAAGTTATCAGGTAAACAATAGCGATGGTATATCTCATATAACCATTTTTTGCACCAAACTTAATTATATCATCCAATTTAAGAGGGTACTTACCCTCTGCAGGCGGTAATCTAAAAAGAAAAATCCATATCACAAACATTACAAAAACATTACAAAAAATGTTGCTCCACGACAAGCTTCCAGTAAACCTTACTAATCATGTGTATATGGATCAACAATTCGTGCACATTACCATTATTCAAACAAGGAACAAAGACCATAAAAACAATTTTAGTTAAATTAAAAATGTCCTTTTCTATAATTTATTGCAATATGTCAGAATCCTCATCATATCCCGTGCTAATATCCTTCAATGGTTCTTCAGTTGATTCATACAGCCCTCCTCTTTACTAATAGAGCTTGCTAACAACCATAAAAAAAATATGAGATTACACATACAACTCTGAAAGCAATGCACAGTAATGATCCAAATGCAACACATTGACCTTCTCCAAAATCCATCCATGTCTTCCTGCTGTCCTCGTAAATTTCAAAATCGCCAAGAGAACTGTATACAATCACTTTTGCCAAGAGAACTATAACTAGAACATAATTTTTTTTTGAGAGAAAGGATGGATTACTGTTAATCATAACAGTAATCCAGCCAACTAAATTAAAGAAACTTGGCTGTTACATGAATATACACATCCCCAACCAAGAAGAATGTGCACTTGAGTTCAAACAGAATTTACAGACCACAAGAAAACTCCTGCTCCCCTACAGAAATGACCAAAAACAGACTCCTGCTCCACCACAGCAGCTATACCCCTTCCCAAACATGAGAAAAAATTGTCAGCTACCACCACTACAAAATAGTAGACCATTTTAACTACATACAGTGTTTTAAAGATCAGAAAGCAGAACAAGTTTAATATTCTGGGGAAAGAAATCATTCAAGTTGAATCACTGTATTCACAAGCCTTCTAGCATCATTTGTAGACTGACCATCAGCAGCTCTTTTCCTTCTCCTCTCCTGAAGCCTGGCAGTTCAAGCTGATAAAGGCTTAGAACCTAACCAAAATGATGAAAAAATCATAACTTTGCTCAAAATCTCCAGAGCTCTCTTCCTCTTGTTTGAAAAAATTCTATCATTGCGTTCCTGCCATATACACCATATAAGAGAACATAAAGTAACATCTCTTTCCACATTCCATTTAGCTCCCTTATCCATATTCCAATTATTCCAAATATCTTTTAAGGAATTCATCTTAAATTCCTTATCAATATTCAATTTATATTGAATAGATCTCCATGTTGAGTATACAAACTCACAATCCACAAATAGATGGAAATGGTTTTCCTCTTCTTTAGAACATAAACAACACATCAAATCCAAATGAATACCTTTCTTTTCTAGCTTATCTTTTGTATTTAGCCCTTGTCTTAAAGCCACACATCAAATCCAAATGAATACCTTTCTTTTCTAGCTTATCTTTTGTATTTAGCCCTTGTCTTAAAGCCAACCAAACAAGAAATTTCATAGCTTATCTTTTGTATTTAGCCCTTGTCTTAAAGCCAACCAAACAAGAAATTTCACTTTTAAAGGAACATGAAGCTTCCAAAGACTTGCACAATCAAATCTTAAACCCCCATCAATAAGAAAATGGTAGTAAGATTTAACTGTAAAATTGCCTTTAGCTTCCCAAATCCATTTTCTCCTGTCCTCCCTTTGTTCAAAATTTAAATCTCTGATATCATTCAACAGCTTGAAATATTGGAAAACAAAATTTCCAGTCAATTGTCTTATAAATTGTATGTCCCATGTCCATTCATTATTCACCTTCTTTCTCACACAACTGATAGAAGCAAAAGGAAAAGAAGTGATATTAAAAAGAGAGGGATAAACCGAAGCAAGGGTAAAAGAACCTACCCATTTATCAAGCCAAAATAATGTTCGATCTCATTTCCCCACATCCACATGAGTACTGCATAAAAAGCTTCCAATATTATCAAAGCAATTCCTTCAAAACTATGTTAAAAGGATTCTTCCAGAATAAAAAAATTTCTGTCCAATGTTTTCTCTCAAAGTACTTGTAAAAACTAATTTGCTTCCTGATTTCCAATTTATAATCAAACAATTTCCAACACCATTTCCCCAACAGAGCTTTGTTCATAATTTTTAGATTTACAATCCCCAAACCTCCATATTGTTTAGGTCTACAAACCTCCTCCCATTTAACCAAATTAGAAGAGCCTTTATAATCAAGAGAACCAGTCCACAAGAATCTTCTCCTCATTTTATCAATTTTTTCTATGAGCCACATAGGAAATAAAAAGAAGGACAACCAAAAAATTGGCATAGAGGAAAGAACAGAGTTGACCAAAACTAATCTCCCCCCTCTTGATAAAGTTTTTCCTTTCCATAAGGCTAATCTTCTCTTAATCTTCTCAATTAAAGGAGACCAATCTGTTTTTTTTTTAATTTTCCAGGTCTCAAAGGAACTCCAAGATAAGTAATGGAAAAATTATCACTTTTACAATTTAACATAACAGCTAAATTCTGTTGCAAAGTGTCATTATCCTCAAGAGCAATAAGCACACTCTTGTTAAAACTTATTTTAAGTCCAGAAGCAAGTTCAAAACAATATAGAATCATTTTCAACACTGTCAACTGCTTTTTTTTATTTTTGCAAAAAATCAAGGTATCATCCACATATTGTAGACAACAGATTTTATGAGGCATATTATTTGGACCTAAACCTTCAATAAGGAGAGAATCAACAGCTAAATTCATCATCCTAGTAAAGGAGTCAGCTGCCAAGACAAATAAAAGAGGAGATAAAGGGTCTCCTTGACGAACCCCTCTCTTGGACATAATCCAACACCCAATTTTACCATTCATATCAATGGTAGACATACCTCCTCTTAAACACAAATTAATCCAATTTAGCCATTTAGCTCCAAATTTTTTGGCTTTCATAACCTCCAAGATGAAATCCCAGTCTAACATGTCATATGCCTTTACAAAGTCTAATTTTAATAAAATCCCTCCCCTTTTGTTATTCTGAAAACAATCATTTATAATTTCCTGAGCTGCTGTCACCCCATCCATCAAAAATCTATTTTTAATGAAACCAGACTGAACAGGATCAATAAGCTTTTCAAGCTTAGAGTTCAACCTATTAGTCAAAACTTTAGTAATCACTTTGTATATCACATTTAAAAGACTGATAAGCCTATAATCATTAACCAAGGAAGCCTCATATTTTTTGGGGATAAGCACAATATGAGCATAATTGAGCCTATTTATTTCTAATTTGCCTTCATAAAACTCCACAAACAATTTTATAATATCACTTTTCACTGTTTCCCAAAAAACTTGGTAAAACAAGGCAGAAAAACTATCTGGACCAGGAGATTTATCACCATTCATATCAAAAATAACTTTATGAACTTCCTCCTCAGAAAAAGGATGTTCTAAATCATTAGATCCCCAATCTTCCAAAGGAAAAAGCTTATTCCAGTCCAGCTGACATCTATAAGGTTCATTTTGACCAAAAATCTGATTATAATGATTAGAAAAAATCTGTGCAATACCCTCTTCAGAACTGACCTCTATATCATTCACTGTAATTGAAGCAATCAAATTATTTCTTTTCCTGCCATTAGCAATTTTATGAAACTAAGCAGTATTATTATCACCTTCCTTAAGCCAATGTGCTTTTGATCTTTGTTTCCATAATTGTTCTTCTTGAAGTAAGATCCCATTCAACTGAATGGAAATA